AAAACAGTGTTTGTCAACAAATAATATGATGACAGAGGTTTCAATGATAAAGGTCGCTTTTCTCCTTAAAAGACCAATTTTAATACCCCTTTTTGGTAACAACTAATTATTATTATTATTATTATTGTTGTTGTTGTTGTTGTTATTATTGTTATTATAAAAGTTATAAAAAAAAGGTCTTTTTTCTTTCGGATGACTCGAGATTTCGATATTTGCAGAAAACTACAGATTCAGAGTTTTCAGATGTTGAGAACAGAGGAACGAATTCCTAATCTTGCGGCCTGTCCATCCACTTGGCTCATTATTTTTAACTTTTTCTGTTTTTCAACATATTTTTTTTGTTTATAAAAATTAAAGTCGCTTTATTTAAAAACGGTTAAGATTCGATATCTTTAAAAAAATTATGGTTTTTAATAATGGTTAAATATGTGTTTGTCAGTAATTATAATATTAGATATCAAATAATTGTACTAAAAATAATAAATTGTTGATAAAAATGTTTTTGTGATTAGATCAAGACATGAGATAAATCATAAAAGTCAAATATCTATTTTCCTTATATATAAAAAAGGAGATAATTGCATTGAAGTTTAATATAAAAAAATTAATTATTACAAGGTTTATTGACAACTGAACTAAATTGTATTAATAACAGACATTACAGTAATTAATTTTTCTACGTGAGACCTGGTTGTAATTCTTCATATAAAAAACAAGTTTCTTATGTACTCTTGATTAAGTACTAAGCTTCCTTCACCCCAATTCCTCAAATTTCTCAATTATATATTTCTTAATAATTTAAATTTGATTAGATGTATTTATAATTTTTTGATGTTCTATATAATTTAGTTGAATTTGATATTTTATTTTATTAAAACAATTTGATCTTATTCTTCTACCTTGTATTTTACACAAATTTTAATTCACAGAATAAATCAGTAGCTTCAATATTATTTATAGTAAACAGGGTTCAGATGTAAAGTGTAATTAACTCTTACAAAATCTCGTTGGATATCTGATTGAAAAGGTTACGGAATATAAAGAAAAATTTTAAAACAAATAAGAGCATAAAATTAGTTGATTTTAAATATAAAAACAAACACGTATTTAAGCACAGATACGGCTAACAATGCTAGATTTAATAGAGAAGTAGGCATGTTTTAAATGAGATCATCAAATAAGATGTTGTATTAGAGCTTCATTGGATGTTTCCTATGTAGCATGTAATGTCCTTTTGAACAAGTCATGAAATTGACCTGCTGCCAAAATCCCCCAATATGATGGGGAGAGTCTTAGTGGCCAGATACATCTTTGATTATTTAAAGCATATGGTTTATTAATATTGTAATTGTAATTTATCATATTTTTTATTTTTGACTAATGTTAATTTTCATAATTAATTATATGGATACTGATATTGATTATAGTATTATGTTAATGAGAAAAAGAAAGTTCTTATGCATAAAAAAGGTTATATGATATTCATTATAAACTAATTATTGTCAATCAACAATTGATATTCTTAAATATCGAAAAAGGCAATTATTTCACCCAAAATTTCAAAAAGTGACCTAATGTTGCCCAAATCTAATTTTTTCTTATAAACAGGGAAAAACCCAAAAAAAAAAAAATCCTACCCTACAAAACAAGAACTAAAGGAGAAAACTTCTTCAAGGGTAGAAAATGAAAATCAATTAGTAATGCTAGTGCTCATTTTGCGATGTGATTAGCTTCAATATTATCCTCTCTCTGATTGTATCCGAGATCATCCATTCAGTCCCAATGTAGTAAACTTTGACTTTAGAAATCAAATCCCATTGGGTATGTAATTCATTTTGTGCAATCCTTAATCAAATTTAAAGTCTCTAATGAGTCACTTCGCAAATTTATCTTCTTATACCTCCCATCCCATCATCCCAAGTTCTTCAATGACCAATAAGACATGCCCAATCCTCAGTCATAAGAGAATCTCCTTCAAATAATTTAAGCATAAAAGCTTTTGAAGGAGAGTGATAATTGTCCTTAATGATACCCCACAACTCATATTATGATTAGAATTAAAGTAAGCTCCATCAACATAAACACTAACTCAGCCTTTCCTATAACAAGCAAGGGACTACCACATCCTTCATAGTACCCCAAGTATTAATGCTCTTCAAACTTAGTCATTCCTCATTAAAACAAGAAACAATAGCCTTGGCCCTATGGACTAATTGTTGGGTGCAAGTGATGTTATTTTCAAAAATTCTATCACTCGGTCGCTTCCAAATGAGCCAACAGACCACAATAAACAACTCCTTCCGATTAACTTCAACCCACCTGCCCCATAGTAGCAATAAGATTCAAATACCACCACTCCAAAAGATTGCAGTTGAAGAACCTTGGGATAAGACTCGGCTCAATTATTAATTTCCACATATCTTTTACTTACAATTACGGAAAACATGGATAGTATCTTCAACATCATGGTGGCACCAGGTACAAGAGGCCGAAACATTCAATCCTCTACGTTTCCTAGCCTCATTAGTCAAGAGAGTTTGTTATAAAGTAATACTCCCTCCATTCTTATATATAAAATATTTTTAATTGAATCTTCCATATTAATAAATGTTTGTTATTTAGTTGAAATCATATAAAAATACAATAATTTTTTAGTTTTACATATAATAATATCACAATTAATATCATGATGGTCGTAGGAAAAATATATAATTAATGATCTGTTCTATTTTTTAAGATAAGGGTAAAATTGTTTAACTATTTAAAAATATTATTGTCATTTTTAATATTTAGAGACAAAATAAACTTTTAAAAATACTTTATATATAGGGATGAAAGGAGTAACCAAAGAAGGATTTACATTTATGGGGGATACTCAATTTTCAGATGTAATTGCATATGGGGTGAGAATAATTATGATCACCATTAAGCATATTATAAGCAGATTTGAGAGAGGAAAAAATGGAGCTTCAGTGATGTTGAACTTGTAAACTAGGGTCCACAAATGAAAATGCCTGAGTCGAAGGGCATTTTTATTTTTTTTTTATTTTGAAATAACTTGCAATTTAGCAAATAGCACCCTAATTGGCACTTTTTTTTTTAACACACAACATCATATTAAGCGGCAAACACCTAGTTGATCAATAATGTTAACAATTAACAAACTTGTGATAGTACTGTTAGTTGATAATTAGTATGGGCTAACAAGTTTTTTTTAAATAATACTAACAAATGCATGATTAGGAAGCCAAGTGTAATTCATTTTTTCCACATGATTAGGAGTAAAATATTTGAAATTTTTGAATTTAAATGGTGGATTTTACTCCAATCCAAATCTAAAATTTCCTACATCTAAAGGCAACATTATATCAAATAGACTACTGGGATAAAGGTGACACGGCTTCTCCTCTCAGGCTCCACACATGGGACTCAAGATTGAGATATAGTTTCTTTATCTTTTGAATAAATAAATAAAAATATGTAATTTTAATATATTTTTGAAAAAAGTTTATTATAATTAAATAATAATGAGACAACCGTGTAAATTAATTGTCCAAAACTTTCTATCAAGTAATTCACCTGTTATCTGTGTCTGTGTACATGATAGCTGGATATGCATATATTTTTTGGTCTGATAGTAGTTGGAAGTCTCATGTTCTTATCCTTTTAAGGTTGAAAAAGATGGCATGATACCTGTGAACAATCTTATGAATGCCTTTTTCTTTACATAAATTCAAAACATCACTACCCTGTGACCAAGTTCAATCCTATTGTCCTCTTAATTAAATTATATATATATATATATATATTAGTCCTTGTATCATTCTCTCTCTCTCTCTCTCTTTAAATAAACAAAAGTTTAAATAAATTGATTATAGAGGTTTACTAACATGGCATATCTTTGGACTCAAAACATTTATTATAAGCTAAATTTTTAACAATTGGACTAATGTTGATTATATCATTTTCTCTTTGACTTTTAAATCATTTGATAAGAGTAAATTTTAAAAGATTCAAGCCCAATGTCACTTCCAATTCATCTTCAAAATTGATTCACCACCAAAAGCACTTTAATGGTTGCTTACAACAGCATAAGACAAATTATGTCTTTAATTAACACTAATGCAGGATTACTGTCTATTATATGTATATCAGAAGAAAACAACAACAAATGTCTGGAGCATTTGTTTTTAAAAATACATGTCTTTTTCCATGTTAGAATGATGTTTCTCAAAAGCTAGAGTGATTTTTTTTTATGTCTTAACCCTCCAAATAATATACCAAAAATCTATTACTCATTATCAATACTTTCACTGGTTCTATTTATAAGTTACTTTTAACATATTTATTAGAATTAAGAAAAATTTTAAATTTTATTAACTCTGTCCAAAAATTTAATAAGTTTTTAATTTTACTCCTATTAAATATATATACTTTAAAAATAAAATTCTTTAGCATTCAATAAACTTTCCAACTTTAATAAGAAAAAAATGATAAAAATAAATATAATAATGATTGAAGTACTCTATAAATAGAACCAAAATAAACACTACCTTTTTCTCTATCTTATAAATAATAGCATATGGATATACTATTAGGTTACCTACAACTTCTTTTTGGTAGACGGTTACCTACAACTTTTGTATTCCTTCAATATCTGTTAAATAAACATTAAAGCTAGATTAAAATATTGGAAAAATAAATACAATCTTGTAATTTTTTTTAAAGAAAAGGTATGATCTATAACTGTATATAGAAGGAAGAAAAGATATTTATTTATTTTTTTGAATCCCTTTGCTTTTTTTCCCTTCCACCAAATTCCAATTAGAACAATAGACTTGTAAAGAACAAAAGATCATTGGAGTGATCCAACTAAAAACCCATTACAATCCTTCCAAGGAACCACATTTATACTTTAAAGTTTAAACCAATAAGAAAAGTATATATGAAGTTATGCAGCAGCTCATTAGAAACATATGTACTCAACTAGATTAGACAATCAATTATTCTGGGTCTGAAAAATAAGGTCACTTGGCTAGCTGTACAGTTTATATTGATAATATATTGACGGTCTATTATTCAAATTAGCCTTTTTGCAGCACTAAGTACATTAAAAGGAAAAACAGAATCTACCACTCCAGCTAAGGATAAAACCTAAGTCCAGAAAAGATAATAAACAAAATTACCTTGAACAATCTAAAACAGGAAAAAAAAATTAGTGTAATCAGTATCTGAGAGGTAAGTAGTGTGGATAAATTCTAAGAATCAAAATCAGATTGTATTTTCAATGGCTGAGGAGTATCATCAGAAGAATTTCTCGAAGAAGAAGAAGAAGAAGAAGAAGAAGAAGTTGCTGATTCATGATTTATCATCAACTTCTGCAACCCAGGTTTCAATTCAGAGTTAAAAAACTGTTCATACTCTGCTTTGTCCCCTGCTTTCTTCTTCACCTCCACCACCACCAACGACGGAGTCAGTTCGAATATCTCCGCCGCGATCGTCAATGGCCCCTTCACACCTTCCCTCGATCCCTCCAAGCTCACCCTGCAATCTTTCTTCCTCACCGTGAAGCTCACCAACTGCGCAATTTCCTCCAACTTCGATATAATCTCCGACACCGGCGCGCCTGACACGAACCTCTCCTCGTCGCCTTTCTCCTCGAACAACCCAGAGAGATCGAAGCCTGCAGAAAATGATATTATATCAAATGCATTCAAGCTCGCTGGTCTTGGAAGCGATACGTTGTTTCTTCTTTTAATTTCCAGCTCTGAATCGGATTCTGATACGGAATAGTCTGACACTGATTCTATGTCTTCTTTGTTTAAATCCAGTTTGTCAATGTCTTCAACACTGGTGCAGAGCTTATCGTCATCGAAATAGAATTTGATTTGTTTGAACCCTTTCCTGAACCACTTGTTTTCCATGATTTCTGGAATTGAGATTCTGGTTTCTGGGTTTGTATCGAGGAGACGAGTACATAAGAGGCCTAGCTCAGGTGAGAACCACTTGGGACACCGGAAAACGCCTCTGTAAATCTTCTTGTACATAGCCATAACGTTCTGATCATGGAATGGTAAATAGCCCGCCATTAAAACGAAGAGAATAACGCCACAAGACCAGAGATCAACTTTGGCTCCATCATATCCTTTTCTGGCCAAAACCTCTGGAGCAACATACGCAGGCGTTCCGCAAAAAGTGTGAAACAAGCCGTCTTGTCTAATTTGATCAGAGACGGCGCTGAGGCCGAAGTCGGAGACCTTGAGATCGCCGTTCTCATCGAGTAACAAGTTTTCAGGCTTGAGATCGCGGTGGTAGACGCCTCTGGCGTGGCAGAATTCGACGGCGGAGATCAATTGCTGGAAATACTTTCTGGCGACTTCTTCCTTCAATCGACCTCTGGCGACTTTATTGAATAACTCGCCGCCACGGACGTATTCCATGACGAAGTAAATCTTCGTCTTGGTGGCCATGACTTCGAAGAGCTGGACGATGTTTGGGTGACGGACGCGGCGGAGGATTGAGATCTCGCGCTTGATGTGAGCGACTAAACCGCCTTTGAGAATTTTTTCTTTGTCGATGATCTTGATGGCGACGCCTTCATTGGTTTTGATGTTCTGAGCGTAGTAGACCTTCGCGAAGGTTCCATGGCCGAGTAGTTTTCCGACTTCGAAGCGGCCGAGCAGGAGATTGGCGTTCTTCTTCTTCTTCTTCATGGGATTGAAACTGTCGTTCGAAACCACGACGTCGGCCATGGATGCGATGGGGAAAAATTGTCGAAGCTGCAGAAATTGTTTTGCTTTTCGGGTTTAGGTTTATGGGTCGACTTGCTTCTCCGCCATTGAAGGTGGTGACGTTAATGCGTTCTTTGGAGGTGGAGGTGTGGTTTTTATTTGATGTGATGAGTTTGTTTCTCTGTGTGTGGGGTTGGTTTGGCTAAATATATAAATAAATTATATATATATATATATATATATATAATATTTGGCACTTGGCATGAAGTATGTTTTTAGAAGACAGAGTATTACCATGCTATATAAACACAATTTGATTTGTTTCCAATTTAAATTTTGAACCTGAGATTTTTTTTTTGGAGAAAATCTTAATTGATATTTAGAACCTTGAAACTATAAATTTTAATTTAATTCATTAATTTAGATTTTATCTTCATTTATTAATTTTTATTTTTATTTTTATTTAATTCTGACTTCACAATATTTTTATTTTTAAATTAATTGATTTTATTTTAATTTAAAACATTTAAACAATTTTCAAACACTGTTGATTTCTTTCACTAAAAATATATGGCTTTTTAATTAAATTTTATCTTAATAAAATAGTTTTTTATTTTTCAATTAATACTATCTTTTCATATATACCTTTATTTTATAGTGTGTTTTCTATTATCTTTTCATGTATACCTTATAAAATAATTTACTTATTAGGAGCACTTTTTTTAAAAAAAGACATTGAATACATCTTAAAATATTAAAATTATTTTATATTTTTTAATATTCAGCCCCAGTATTTTTTAACGAAGGGGTATATGTTTAGACTCTCCAATTTTTGATAGAGCTAAACTTGCTTTTGTTTATTTGTATTGGCTATTGATAAATCTCCATTCGATATTGAAAGAAAAATAAGTAAATAACTCAAACGTGCCATTGAATTTGAAGCTTTTAGTAGTACCCCTGTCATGAAACTTAATAAAGTAACTGAACTTTTTGAAAATTATAACCTACGAAGGCAATTCATCTTTATACGGTAAATCAGTAATGATATATTATTAGGATTAATGACATTATTATGAGGCAGACTTGTACTTGAATCAAAACCAAGTTCCTTTTCTATTTGATATTTCTAAGACAATTAATTCATGGGGCCAGTGCCAATCCATAAGAGAATAAGTTATTGTACGTACCATTCTCAGAATAATAACTTATCAGTAAATTACCTATTGAAATGAAGATTGAGTAAAGTATATGCCAAGATGCAGGCAAAAAAAAAAAAAAAAACAAAAACAAGAAGAAGAAGTCAAATTGATGATTGGAGATCCAAGAATTAGGAGCATAAAAATATATTATAAGCATAGTTAACTTGAGTAATGACTTGTTTGCTTCATTAATTAGATCCACGTTTATAGGGTTCTCACATACGTGTTCGCTTCTATTGTACGGTCGTCGGCCCAGCGAGAAGCGCTCTGATTTTTCACCTGCACGTTACAACTTAACAGTCAACTCCTTCCTTTGACTTTCTATGGTCGTCTCGAAGACTCAACGTCTCTTTTAAATCACGGTGTGATCAGTATATAATCTGTATAAAAAAATATCAAAATTATTCCTCATTGTTAGTGTGAAAAATACCATTAGTTATTGATTGGATTAATGAATTTGCATTTAAATTTTAGATTTGAAATTGCAAAGAAAAATTGTAATAATAAGAAATGAATTTGAATTTGGCTTTAGATTTGAATAAAATCTAAATTCATCAATTTTGTATAGCCAAATGAGAGATTTGTATTAAATTCAAAATGTTCATTAATTCAAATACACTATTGTTATGTTTAAATACATATGAATTTGAATTTTAGCTAAATTCATTATTTAAGTAATTAAAAATGTATGTATTCAGATTTAACCCAAATCTAGATCCAAATCCTATCTTAACTCCTTTATATTAACTTAGTAACTTTTTTACTAGAATTTCTTGAACTTATAATTTAAGAGTTTCAAATATAAGAAGATAAAGTAAATGATAAATATATCATATCTTATAATTGTTTTATATTTTATTTTTAAATTATAAAATATTTATTACTATCTCTAATCAAAAATTAAATTTTTTTTCTAAAATAAGATGATAAAAAATATAAGGTGTTTTGTGTTTTTTAAGGTGCAATTAGTGAATTTTTTTTCAAAAATACTATTAATTGGGGGTATAATTAATAATATTTTTTAATTGAGACAAGAATAAAGATAAAAATATAAATAATTTTAAAGATAACTGACTAACTCTTTGAAAATATAATTTAATTAAAAATGTATTATAATATTAAATGAAAAGAGTGCCTTTTTTAATAAAGAAAAGTTCATGTGAGTTAGTTTTAAAAACTTATCAAGATAAGAACCTGTCTTCAAATTTAATGAATATTTAAGATTATTTATAGATCATTTACTAATAAAATTTACATTGAAAGTGGATTTGATCCCCCACTAATATTTATTGGTGAAGGGAGTAACTTTTTTTTATTGATGTCGTTGTATGTACGTAGGGTCCAAACAGCCACACAAATACATGCGGTGGCACGAGTCCCACTTTATCTGAGTGCAACGAGCTTACGGAGTGCAACGAGCTTCCTAATTCACGAGCAATGATAGAGTCAGGATTTTAAATTAGGAAAGTAATGATAAAATTAAGATTCTTGATAAAAAAAAAAGCCATTTTTGTCCCTTTTAAAATTAATTATTTCTCTTTTCTTTTTTCTTTTTTTTTTCCATCCAACTTTTAATTGTAGATTCATAAGTACAGCGAGCTAATGAAAAATATTCACCCAATTAACTCTTGAGTTTTGAATCTTCACTATTTATCAATGTCTTTTTTTAACTAGTTCCTGACTAGTATTTAGGGCGAGGAGTGAGTCTATTTAGTCATAATAAAATTTTTTTATTTTTTAAATAATTAATAAATAATATGAGTATTTAGGTATAGTGAAATTATGGGTTAATATTTATAAGGCTAAGTTAAAAATTTGAATAGATATAAGTTAAAAAAGTAAGATTAAAATAGATTTAAAGTTTAAAATATAAAATAACAGGGTGCAAAGTATAATAAGTAAAAGGTGTAAATTGTAAAATTTAAAACTCTATATTCTCAAACATATTATTTTTTTCAAGTAAGGGGGGCATATGTCCCCTCATTTACATGTAGCTCTGTCACTGTTCACGAGCCACATTGTTTTAAATCTTCAAACTCAATGAGGTATCCATGATTGTATTTGCAAAATCAGCCTGCAAGAAATATTCCCTTCTCTGACCCCATGTTTGGTTGAGGCCGTTTCACATCATCCTGTAAGAATATTCCCTTCTCTTATCCCTTGTTTGGTTGGGGATTTCGAAGATGAAAGAAGGGTTTGGATAAATTAGTAAAGTTGGAAAGGAAGGCCCTTTCATATCATCCCCCTTCCCTCCAAATCATGGGATTTAGAAACAGAGTGTTGCATTTTAGTCATGACAAGATCAAAATTCCTTCTCTTTCCTTAAATCAAATCCATTAAAATTTTCTCTTTTTACCATTTCCCTTCAACCAAACATGGGTAAGAGACCATCAAAATCCCAATTCTTTCTTTTTCCCTCCTCTTTATTTCTCTCTCATCGAACGAATCATGCCTTTAAGTGCTTATTTCTTATATTTACTCACTTTAATTTTTTTATTTTAGTGTTCTAGTCGAACTTGGTTTTAATACTTTTTCATTGCTTTTATTTTTTTAAAAAAAGTAGTTGCCGCGTATTTAAAAGATATTAATTTATTTACAACTAATTCAACCATGATACAATTATTAAACAATATGCCAATGTCTCAAAACTAATTGAAAGACCAATACAATTTCAATATATTCTAAATTAGAAATATTATGACTTATTTACCATAATCTATACATTATATTTATTATTATACTAAGACGTGTTGTGTAATGCAATTGAGATTTTATATAGTATTTTTTTTTATTTCATTTGAATGTTATGTATTCAAATAAAGATCGAAAGCATAGATGATGAATGCAAAAGAATGAATAAATAAAAACCTATATCTCTAATAATTCCTTAAAATTTCAAAAGTTATTTTATTGATTTAATGCTCACTAAAGTCAGATGTAAAGTCTATACTATCTCTGTAACACCCTCAAATTTACAAACTAATTTTTTATAAATTATTAAAACCATTATCATGGTAGAAAATTTTCTTACCATGATACATCCAAGACATAACACAAGTCTTAAAATATTCAAAAAGACAATTAAAACCATGAGAGACAGACATAATCCTCATGGTCATATAAATACTTTTAATAAAAAGGATTAGAATTTATATGTTGTCAAAATAAGAAATGTCCTAGGTTGGCACAAGATACATTGCATAATACAAAATGAAAGGCAACGTAAAAGATGGTGTCTCATACACCAAAGTTACACCTCTGGTGCTTTCTCGGCCGGACTCTCTCCTATAAAAATATTAACCACAGGGAATGAGACTTAAAAGTCCCAATAACTAAAAATTAATATGTAATGATGCATGCGGATGTAACTAATCATGCGATTGCTAAGTGGGCACACAAAAACATTTAATCGAACCATATTTCCAAACAAACCAAACAAGTATTTAATTGCATGACTGCACCTTATATCCTCCTTTCACCATGCTCGGACGCCAAATCACCCGGCCAAAGGTGAGTTGGACCAAGCGACACGCCACTCATTGGGTCCAATGAGGGCTTACCACGTGGTAATAATCAACCGAACAGAAATTTCCTTTAACACCATACATTAAAATACCCTAACAAGTCATGCATCATTCAAATATCCAAATAGGAATATATCTGAACAACAATATCTCATCATGATAAATAAAAATAAATTTTTCACCCACTTGGCAATAATTTCAAACAAGTATATAACAGTATTTATTTTCAATAATTCATAATTTTTCCAAACAACAAGTCAACACATAACCATTCACAAACACACTCATCACAACACATTAATAATGGTTACCTTGTGTCTTGAATAACAAGTTCCCCTTCACAACTCCTCTTTCACCACTATCTTTGTCAACACAATCTACATAGTTATTTCATAATACTATATATTAATTTTACATTAAAATAAATAACTCTAATTTAAAGAGTTAGAAAGTC